AGGTGGAAGGATCCCTTGAGCCCAGGATGTCAAGGATGCAGTGAGCCACGAGCATGCCACTGCACTGACTGGTGACAGAGTGAGACTGTTATTTTAAAAAAAAAAAAGGGAGGGGGGTGGACGCCTTGGCTCACACCTGTAATCCTAGCACTTTAGGAAGCTAAGGTGGGTCAACACTGTCAATGTTGGCAGTGCCCTAGGCAATGATGTCAACGTTCTATTTGTTAATCTATAAGCTAACAATAAGAATACTCAACAAACTATTTCCTCCTTTTACCTTTTTTTTTTTTTTTTTCAAGCTTTTGTTTCCTTAGTTGGACTATGATGTTTGAAGGCAGCAGTAGTATGTCAGGTCACTGGAGAACAGCTATGTCACCACTGTCAATGATGGCAGTGCCCTAGGCAATGATGTCAAGGTTCTATTTGTTAATCTACAAGCTAACAACACTCATCAATTTGCTCCTTTTACCTTTTTTTCAAGTCTATGTCTCCCTAGTTGGACTATAATTTTAGAGGGCAGAAGTAGTATGTTCTTTATTTTGCGTCCTTCAATGGCTTTCAAAATAGTACAGACCAATGTGACCTGTACCTACACAGGAGAGAAGGAACAGAGGAAGGGGTTCAGAATGAGGAAAGACAAGAAAGAAAAACATGCATACAGGGTATAGTCAGTAACCAATGGGAAGTTCAGTTTAGCTAAGACTCCAAATTTAGGAGCATCAATGTGATGGTGGCAGCAGCCTATCTGGAGTGGCCACTGCCATGATGCTGGTGGCAGTGGGAGAGGCATGGCCAGAGCTGTGTACTCCATGGAGCCAGTGGAAGCCGGGAATAGGTGGAAGCCCTGTCCCCTTCTGAGTTGGCAAGATGGAAGCCTCACATTCCCTGGGTGCAGCTGCAGCTGCCTAGACATGGCTGCGGACCCAGGCATCCCTGTGCTGCTGGGGGGAGAGCAGGCAGGAGCCCTACTCTCTTAGGCACAGCTGCAGTCGCCTAAGCCATGGCTGCAGATCTGGGCATCTCTGCACTCTCAGGGGCCTGGGAAGGCCACCATCCCCCGTGCAGGCTCTAAAGTACCTGCTCCTATGGTCTGGCCTCTCCCTACTCCCAGCACCCACTCTGATCTTGGAGCAAAGTTGAGGCCGAGTCTGGGCACTGTTGCAACCCAGCCAGGTGTGTGGGTACTCAGGGCAGTGCTGACATGCCAGCATCCTGCCACCTTAGCCTTCTCCAGACTTTGGGTGCTGATGAGCATAGAAGGAAGGACAAGGGGGGGGGCACTGACAGTAGTCTGGCACTGGCCTGCAGGTGCCCCGTGGCATGAACACCATGGGTGCCATCAACAATGGCAGGAGGCAGACAGGCTCCTGGATGGAAAGAGGTGGGTCCCCAGTGAAGCCCCATCTTCAAGGCAAGGAAGCCCTGATGCCTGGGGGCTGGAGTGGGAACTTGTAGTGCTTTGCCCAGGCTTGCCCATGGACCAATCAGCACACACTTCCTCCCCTTTGAAGCCCATAAAAACCCTGGACTCAGTCAAACTCAAAGAGATGATGGGACAACTTGCTTGTGGAGAAGAGCTACCCACTCCAGCGTCTCCTCTCTGCCGAGAGCTGAACATTCCATGGGATGACCTGGCTGCAGAAAGGGGCTACCCACTCCAGGGTGTCCTCTTTGCTGTTCTATCAATAAAGCTCCCCTTCACCTTACTCACCCCTCCACTTAGCCATATACCTCATTCTTCCTAGACGTGGGACAAAAACTAGGAACCCACCAAATGACAGGGGTGAAAAAGCTGTAACACAAACAGGGCAAGATATGCCATGTTGCGGGTGACAAGAAGGAAAGAAGAGAGGAAGAGAGAAGGGCTGTGGTCCTTCAGGGGGCTCAGACCTAGATGCTCCCCATGCCAGGGCTGTGACACCCTCTTTGGGGCTCTATGATTCCTGGTGTCTCCAAGCTTCTGGGTGCCACCACAATCCCTGGTGCCAGCTATGGAAGCTGCTTACAGGACACCTGGTCCCGCTGCCTCACAGGGAGCTGACGCCTGTGCCAGCACCTGGAACTGCACACCGTACCACAGTCAGTGTGCCTGGCTGTGTGCAGTGGCCAGGCTCCACACCTGCTCACTCATACACCCTTTGCCGCTCCACTCGGCCTTGGCAAATCTTGGATTCAGGCCGGCAGCATGAGCCAAGGGCAGCCTGCCTGGCCGAGTGGGCCCAGTGGGCCTGAGCAAAACTTGGGCAAGGGTGCCACTGGCCACAGAGGTTTCTGGCTGGCAAAGTGACATCCCTAGGATCTCGTAACAATGGGAGACAGGTGCAATGCATGCAAAATCAAATCCTGGAAGGTATGTGTGTGCCATTTGGTAGGGTAGTTTTTTGCCACTACATGTTTTCTGCATAAGCATACTTTATAAGTTTTTATGTCAATAAGGCTGACGTTAAGGTCCTCAGACTTGAGTTTCTTCATTATAACAGGAAGTTAAAGGAATTATAAATCTTAGCAGATTACTTGTCTAAGTAAAGGAAATAATTACAAAAACTTGTTTTTTTCCTACTGTTGACCTTATCAAAAAAAGATATGCTCCAGTGTGCTCAAGAGCATTCATTTCTCTGAAGGTTTTGTTTTTTAATAGTTATGAATTTGCTAACCGCAATAACAAAACGGTTTTTATAAAGTGAGTTTCACCAAATTATTTAGTTGTTATTCTTTTTAAAGAGTTAACATTTGTAAGTAACTAGATGAAGTGTAAGGCATGACTCATTCACTTACTTATTCAGCAAATACTTACTGAGTGCCTACTACTTGCCAGGAACTAGTGAACAACAACAATTCCTGCCCTCATGAATTTCTGCACTGTAATGGAGGAAATTCACAATAAACTAGTCAAAAATAGATTAGAAAGTGATAACATTGTGGACAAAAAGCAGAATATAGTAGACTAGAAATGTGGGGATGGCATGGAGGGATGGCTGTTACTTGATGTAATTGATCAAAAAAGGCTCTATTCATAAAACAAGTTTTGAACATAAGACCTCAAAGAAAAGAGAACATCAAGTACAAACTCGTTTTTGCAGGTAAGTACTTGCCATGTTTAAGGGCATCAGGTTTGGCATGGCTGTACTGGACTAGCAAAGGAAGAGTAGCTAATGAGGCTTGGAAAGGCAACGAGGCTTCACACACTGCTGTAAGGACTCTGGCTTTTACTGTGAGTGGGATGAAAAGCCACTGAAAAGTTGTAAGCAGGAGAGTGTAATGATTGGACTTTCATCATAAAAGGAGTATTTGGGCTGCTCACGTGAAAGCAGACTGAAGAGGGTAAGTCCGAAAGCAGCTAGTCAGGAGATTAGTATTATAACCCTGGTGAAAAATGAGGGTGGCTAGAACTAGTATGGTGGTAAAAATAATGAGAAGTAGCCACACTGTGAATGTATTTTGAAGTCAGTTGACAGGATACGATGTTGAAAGAACAGTCAATAATGACTCCAGTATGGAAGATGAGAACAGAGAGAAGGGCAGAGTTGTCATTTATTGAAATAAGTAAGATCAATTTGGAGAGAGAATAAAATCAAGAGTTCACTTCTATATATGTTAATTTTGAAATGTCCATTAGAAATACAACTGTAGATGTTAAGACAGCTATCAGTCTGAATTTCAGGGAAGGAGTCCAGGTAGAGATAAAAATTTGAGAGTCAGCTTATAGATATTATCAACTAGAAAGTTGGAATGACTATAAAAGAGAAGGTATCTGAGGACTGAGACCTTGAGCACCTCAGCATTTAAAAGCCCTAGAGATGAGGAGGAACTTGCAAAGGAGGCTGAGAAGAAGCAGTCAATAAGGTAGGAAGAAAACCAGAAGAATGTAATACCAGGGACTCAAATGAAGAAAATATTTCAAGGAGGGGGCAATCAAGTGAGTAAAAAACCAGGCCAAGGAAGAAGAAAAATGACCTGTGGATTTAATAATATAGATGTCAGGAGCCGTTTCACAATAGCCGTTTCATAACAGCTGTGACAAAGAAAGCCAAGAGTGAAGTGGGTTCAAAATGAAATGAACTGGAGAGAGTATAGACAATCTTTTGGGAAAGTTTTGTTGTTAAAGGGACCAGAAATTTAGAGAGGCAGGTCGAAGGACGTAAGGGAATGTTTCTTTTTAAAAAGACTTAAAATACAGGATATTTATTTGCTAACATGAATGATTCAGTAGAGAAAAAAAGTATAATGATGCAGGAGAGAGTGCAAAGTCCTATAGCAGGCAAAAAAGAATCATAGTATGCCAACGGTTGAGCTGACTCTAGATGGGAACAGAAACAGGTCATCCAAAGTAAAAGGAAGAAAGGCAAAACGTCTGCCAACAGATAAGACTGACTAGCAGAAGTGATTGTGGGAAAGTTTTCTTCCAACTGCTTCTATTTTCTCAGTGAAGTAGGAAGAAAGCATTAGTCCTTGTGAAAAGCAAGGAGAAGGTAAAAAATAATCACCTAGAATGTAGAAGAATAAATACACTGAGGAAATATGATAGGGTGACCAGAAGGTGCTAATTTGACATTGTTGGTTACATATTGAAAGTTAGACTAGTTAGAATAGTCATATGCTTTCCTCAGCCATATTCCACTGACCAAGTTGAGGCACAAAGGAAGTGGAGAGTTGGATTTCACAAAGTTTTTTGGTTATTGGTTATTGGTAATAATGGAAGAAAGGGCAAGAGAGTCGAGCCTTTGGAAATTATTATAAATGAATATGGAATTTAAGTCAGGTAAGGAAAACGGAAACAGAGAGAGAGAATAAAAGAAGCTATTACGATCCATGGATCCAAATGGGACAGATGTTTTGGAGGCAGGCTCCTAAAGGAATAAGCTAGAAACACAGAAAGTAGTGATCAGGGAGTGGAATGATCATAAATGAGGCTAAGAGTTATTACTGATAATGAAAATTTTAATGGCATGGCAATAGGTGAGAGTTTTAAGTTAAAGTGAGAGACAAGATGATTTAAAGGGAAGGATCAAAAAATAAGCCAGGCATGGTGGCTCACGCCCGTAATCCCAGAACTTTGGGAGGCCAAGGCAAGAGCATTGCTGGACCCCAGGAGTTTGAGACAAGCCTGGTAAGATAGTGCAACCCCATCTCTACAAAAAATAGAAAGTCAGCTGGGTGTAGTGACACTTGCCTGTGGTTCAGTTATTCCGGAGGCTAAGGAGGGAGGATTGCTTGAGCTCAGGAAGTGCAGGCAGCAGTGAGCCATGACTGAGGCACTGTACTCTAGTCTGGGCAACAGAGCAAGACTCGTTCTCAAAAAAAGCAGAAAGAAAGAAAATGAAAACAAAAGGTCATGTTCTATAGGAAATATAATCCTTTTTTACACTAAAACTGCAAAGAACGGTGACAATGTTGGGAGGAGTGACAGTGAGTCAGGTGTTAAACTCTTCAGAAGACAAGCATCTACAGATGACCCTAACACAGAGTGCTACAGTCTGGTAGCAGAAGCATCAAGGTAGAGGGATGAGGAGAACGGCAGGGTTAGGCAGCAGGGAGAGTCTGGCAATGAAAAGCAAAGGAAACATTTCCTTCATCCTACCTCTCAACCCAGTAACATTAAGGGATTAGAGAGAAAACAGCCAGCATGTAAGAGAGCTACAGAACAGTGCATTCGGGGACAAGCCAGGTTTTCAAGCAAAAAAAGTGAAGACATCTTTAGAAGTTTAAAATACAGTGGATTTAGCCAACAATGTACTATAAGAGTTTTCTGGAAGAGACTACAGGTTGGTGCAAAAGTAACTGCAGTTTTGCTTTCAATGACAAAAACCCCGATTACTTTTGGACCAACATGTAGAAAACTATGCAGGGGGTGGGGGCAGATCAGGGTATGACCAGAGTCTTCTGGCGATGGGAAAGTCTAGGTAACGAAGGAAAGCTGGAGTCCTGGGCTTCTTGTGGTGGCTGAAGTAAAGAGAGATAAAAGGGTAAGATGGAATTGGCCCACCCAGATTCGAATACAGTTTTTTAAAGAAAGATAAAATCAGCCAGGTGCGGGGGCTCACACCTGTAATCCCAGCACCTTGGGAGGCCGAGGTCGGCAGATGACCTGAGGTCAGGAGTTCGAGACCAGCCTGGTCAACATGGAGAAACACCATTTCTATATTAAAAAAAAAAAAGAAAGATAAAACCAGAGTGCCAGTTATCATATTGCCCCTCAGCTCCAAATCTACTCTTCATTGTCCAGCTTGTGATGCTTGAGCTGGATGTTGTAAACATTTCTTCTTTGTTTGCTATCACAATATTAAGCTATGTCAGTAAAACTGAGAGGGTCACGGCAAAGGAAGAAGCTTCTCTTCCTGATGAGCACGCTTCTTTTCTTTTTGTTACCACAGCAGGTGGGACACACAGCAGCACTCACCCCTGCAGGCACCTTCTAGGAGTGTTTGGCCAGTACCCCTAGCAGCTTCCCTGTGAGTTTCAGCAGCATCTGCAAGGACCACTTCCCAGAGTTCTGCTGATGCTCAGCCAGCATCCCAGCCAGAGCAGCACCAGGCAAGTTCCCGTGGCACTCTAGCAGCCTTCCCAGTGAGTTCAATGACCCCTCAAGTGGCTTTCCAGTACAATCTACTGATACTCCAGGCAGTTTCGCAGGGAGTTTCGTCAGCTCCACAGTGGACACTTTCCTCTTTGCCAGCCCCAGACTGTGTTGCCATCGAGTGAGCTATTGCCATACCCTACCCAGTAAGGTCTGAATCTCAGCCTTAAGGATGGGGTTCAGGTTTCTTTAAAAAATTGTGTCTTCTTTGGGTACTCTGCTCAGCACTAGGAATAGCAGCTGCTTCCTAGTATGTATCAGCTATTACTGCATGATTTAAAAAAAAAATTTATGATCTCTAGTCCTCTCATTTTGTTGTTTATTACAATTTTTCAACTTTTATTGTTTTTTGAGGCAGAGTCTCACTGTCACCCAGGCTGGAGTGCATTGTTGCGATCGTTGACTCATTGCAACCTTCACCTCCCAGGTTCAAGTGATTCTCCTGCCTCAGCCTCCTGAGTAGCTGGGACCACAGGTGTGTGCCACCACACCCAGCTAATTTTTGCATTTTTAGTAGAGATGGGTTTCACCATGTTGGCCAGGCTGGTCTGGAGTTCCTGACCTCAGGTGATCCACCCATCTCACCCTCCCAAAGTGCTGGGACTACAGGTGTAAACCACCGTGCCCAGCCTATGATAGATTTTAAACAAAATGACTGATCATTCCTACTATATAAAGTTTATCTTACAGCAGTGTGTGTACATATGTATCTAAACCAGTGTATATGTATGTGTATGTGATCCAAAATAAAACAAGCTCTGTATATCAAAGCATGCAGCTACTGACATAAGGAAAATGTCAAATTTCTGCAACTATCACTATGTTCTTGGGCAGGTCACTTAAATGCTGCAGGCCTTCAGTTTTTATCTGAAATATGACAGATTACATGATCACAGTCCTTCCAGCTCTATGATTCTATTTATATGATTGTGAATTCTCAAATACCAAATATTTCCAGATTTTTATCAAGAACGTCATACGTATTTATTTCATTTATGTACAAAAACAAATGGCTTTGCTTAGGTTGTTCAAAAGTTATTTCATTTATAATGTCATTCGCTTTTTATTGCACTAATTATATTACTTAATATATTTACTTAACGATTTTTTATGAATCCTGTAAGGCTTCTCAGTTTTAGAGGATTGGTAAAGCACAGAAGGACATTCCTTGGTAACTTAATAAAAGCAATTCTATAATATCAAGGTAACAGAATTGAGCTGCAATGAAATAAGGCTGAATTGAATTTGCAACTAATACACAGTCTGTAACATGATCATACCTGTTTATGTTTTTGCAGTGGTTTCTTTTCGTGTAATTTTTTATCTCCATATTTCTTGTATGCTAAAGGTATTCCATATTTAGCAGCAGGCTTTGTAATTTTCTGAGCAGGCATAACAGAAATGGAGTTTTGTCCTGAAGCTGGTCTTTTAGCTACATGAAAAGATACAAAGAATTTTGTCTGCAGTTCTTTATATTAACTCTTTACTTTAAGAATTCTTCAAAACAGCTCTTTTTAATTTTTATAATCATTGATAGTATTTGAAACTTTTCATCAAATATCTTATTCATCCCTTAGTATTTATTAATGCCTTAACTATTTTACACTAAAGTCACTTTTTGACGGAAGTTAAAAGCCAAATTCCTCTAACATGCTAAAGTTTTTCATATTAAAAAAATCCCTAAAATTGACTGTGGGTAATTGTTGCATGTATTGGCGAATATACTAAAAAAAAAAATTAATCATGAATATACTAAAAAATATTCATGTAATCATGAATATACTAAAAAAATTTAGTTGTAGACTTCAAATGCATAAACTGTATGGTATGTGAGTTATATATCGATAGAGCTGTTAAAAATAAATTTTTAAAAATTTATTTTAGAAACTACTTTCAAAATCAAAAGATAATCAAGAGAAACTGTAAGCATTAATTATATCAAAATAAGCAACTTTTATCCTTCATATAATGTCTGAATGATATCTATAACTTCAGACCTGTCAAAGGAGAAATATCTTAAAACAATCATTATCACTAACGTTGTTGGCAGAAATATAAATTGGTTAAACTTCCTGGAGAGCAATCTAAATTAAGAATACTGTTTATCGGGCAGGGCACAGTGGCTCACGCCTGTAATCCCAGCACTTTGGGAGGCCAAGGTGGGTGGATCACCTGAGGTCAGGAGTTCAAGACCAGCCTGGCCATTATGGTGAAACCCCATCTTTATTAAAAAAAAAAAAAAAAAAAAAGAATACTGTTTATGACCTGATATTAAAGAAATAATCAGAGAAACCCCACGCACAAGAATAAACCCTGCAGTGTTATGTATTTAAGCCTTACTGAAGCCTAGGTGAGGTTCAGTCTTAGAAGGGATAAGTTCAAGAGAAAAACTCTAAAGTAATAAAAAGAAAATTCCATTATTTATTCACATCTTTGGAGGATATTAAAAGAAGTCAGAGTAGAGTCTACATAAACCCTTAGCGAAACCCTCTCTCCATCTCTTATTTTCTGTATGTGCTAAGATATCCCTCCGCTCAAACTCCCCCAAAGCTGAGCAGCAGCTTGCTTGCTTCCACTTCCAGACTGCTGTCTAGCTCAGGATTTTATAATGTGCTAAATTAACTTAAATCAATCTCTTCTAGAAGTGATCTTCCTTTTTAGGAGGGAAAAGGAGAAAAAATATATATAACTGGTAGTTCAAAATGAAATACGACTAAATTCAGTTCTTCAAAAAAAAGTGATTGTATTAGAAAATGTTCATCATATAATAGTATAAATTAAAAGAAACAAAACTTCTAATAACATTCTCAATTTGTAGTCATTATGTATAAATTATCACAAAAAATAATCAAATACAACTGTGTGTGTTAAAATTGGGGTAATTTTTATTTCTTTAAAACATTTTTATAATGAATATATATATTTCATATGATTTAGTACACTCTTTTAAAAATAACAGCAATATAAGCCATTAAGTTGGCATTTTAGAGATTCAGAAGTAATTTTTGTTGACAATATGGGATATATGATGTGAAAGGGAAAGGTTTCCCAAACACATACTCCAACTGCATCTTGACCCAGAAACCAGGAATCACGAGGAAAAAATACTTCCCTTTGAGAGTTCAACCATACGATTACATTAGAACTTATAGATACATATATACACACATACACACACAGTCACGATACTGTAACCTGGCTAAACAATAAAATCAAAGAAATACAGTGTATGCCAGAAAAGGGGCTAGAGGTACACAAGCATAAAAAATAAAGATTTCTAAGAAACAGATAAGAATAGTCCCATCTACTTTCCAGAGAAGAGGAAGCATTACTTATCTGATTTTTGAGCATTTTTCAGGATCAATGACAAGGCTACCTAAGGCATGAAGTTTAATGTAGGGGACTGGAGACCACAAAGTATTTATCAGCAATACTACCCCTATTAAGCATTTCATTCCACCAAATGCTCTTACAGCAAATTACTTTCTAATTCCTACATGGTTTTACCCATGTGGAAAGAACATGCTGATACTGGGTATTTCTGGCTTTTGTGACAAAGAGCCTTTTAATTAAGATATGATTTCTACGAAGCTTGACTGCCTACTGTGCAGAAAAATCATGCTGATTCTGCTGTGTACCTCAGTTTCCTGTGAATTCTGTTTGAGTGACTTCTCAGGGACTGGTGGTTTCTGCACAATGAGAGGATGTCTACAGGTCTTGAAGAAGAGCTAAGTGCAGTCTGCCTTCCTGAGAACAAACACACTGCCATACCACTTCTAGCTAAATGGGCTCATTTTTATGATATGGCATCTATTTTCATTAATTTATCCAAACTCAAAATGGAGTAGAACATACAAATAATTCTGTCTGAAAAACAACATACCCTTCACATATTAAATAACTTCCACTGATTTTAGAAATCCATTCCGAAATCATTCCGTTCAGGAAAAAAAAAAATTACCCTCTCACATAGATACATATAAATACATACACATAGTATGTAACCATATCCACAATCTTATGATTCTAATGCCACTGGTCACACTGTTTAAAAGAAAACCTATCTTTAATAAAGTACTTTACTTCACATTCACATACTTGAAAAAATTCAGAATATGAAATATTTCTCAAAGATAATATGGTCAGGCATGGTGGCTCATGCCTGTAATCCTAGCACTTTGGGAGGCTAAGGCAGGTGGATCACCTGAGGTCAGTAGTTCCAGACAAGCCTCGCCAACATGGTGAAACCCGTGTCTACTAAAAATACAAAAAATTAGCTGGGCATGGTGGTAGATGCCTATAACCCAGCTACTTAGGAGGCTGAGACAGGTAAATCGCTTGAACCTGGGAGGTGGAGATTATAGTGACCCAATATCGCTCCACTGCACTCCAGCCTGGGGAACAGGAACGAAACTTCATCTCAAAAAAAAGATAATTTTATATAAAGATTTACACCAAAATTGGACATTTTATAATTCTATAACAACATTCTCAAAACATCAGCTATGCATTTGATAAGACATACGATTTCAGGCCAAATTTCATTTAAATAAAAGAAGTGTTATTAATTGCTAAATGATTATTGCCATAATCATTTAGCAATTCTAATTTGCAGTTCTACTGGATTAAATTTATCCTAGAATTATCCCAACTTACTATATCTACATATATTTCCAGTGTAATTAGGTTTGATTACCACAAACAAATGAAAGGCTTCATATCACATTTCATTTACCTGGTATAGGCTGTGATCCAAACTTTGAAAATGTTTTCAGACAGAATTCTTCTGCAATAAGCTTAGATTGAAAGAGAAAAAAAAATTAGAAAAGATGTTACATTTTTGAAATAAAAAACCTACCCATTAATCATAATACATTTTCCTATTTTTTAGTAATAATTATGTTGTCAAATAAACTGTACTAAAACCAAATTGGAAAAAAAAAAAAAAAAGGGCAGCTGTTGTGGTTCATGCCTGAAATCCCAGCACTTGAGGTGGCTGAGAGGAAGACTGCTTGAGCACAGGAATTAGAGGTCAGCCCTTGTAACATAATGAGATCTCGTCTCTATTTTAAAAATTAAGAAAAAATTTAAAAATTAATTCAATAAATTCCTCATGCTAACTCCCTCCCAATATTATTTATGTATATATCTATGTGTGTATGTTTTTGAGACAGGGTCTTGCTTTGTCTCTCAGGCTGGAGTACAGTGACACAACAATGGCTCACTACGGCCTTGACCTCCTAGGCCCAAGCAATCCTCCCAGCTCAGCCTCCTGATTAGTTGAGACCCCAGGTGTAATCCCAGCTACTCGGGAGGCTGAGGCAGGAGAATCGCTTGAACCCAGAAGGCAGAGGTTGCAGTGAGCCAGGTCCAGCCTGGGTAACAGAGACAGACTCAGTTAACTGGATTTAAGCTTTTTTTTTTCTTACTTTGTGGGGAAGGAAAAGGCAAGTGAATTTTTTTTTTTTTTCCAAGAGATCTGAGCTTTGGTGAGAGAAACTTCCTATAGTAACAGTGGTCCAGACACTCCAATAGGCAAAAAAATAATAATACATGACCTGAGGGGGTCATTTTTCCCATTAAGAAAACCCCTAGAGCAGTTCTCAAAGTCTCATACCAGCAGTATCAGCATCACCTGGAACTTATTAAATATGCAAAGGCTCCACCTCAAAATTACTGCAACTGAGGCTGTGGCAATGAGACTCAGCAACGCCCACTAGGTGATTCTGATGTGTGCTCAAGTTTGCGAACCTCTTCACTAGTGGACAAATGTGAAGTGCCAACTCTGGCTCACAGGCTATTTAGAGCGACTATGTGAATGTGTGCTGTCTTCTCAACAAATGCAGTTTTTTACTTTTCTTTTTCTTGGAAGAAAACAGGTGGTTTATGAGCTCCATCTTGTCCCCAGATAGAATCATCTCTTCCACTGTTGGAGAAGTCTTTCTTTTTCTGTGTTAATGCTCATGTGAATTGAGAGCTGGGGCATATAGAATCCAAGATCCTGAAATCTCCATATTGTGTTGTCCAGTAGAGTAGCCACTACCCACATATACATATTTGAATTAAAATTTGAGATATATATAATATATATATGTACAAAGCTTTTCAGTCATTCCAACAACATTTCAAGTGCTTATTAACCGCATGTGGCTAGTGGCTGTAACATTGAACAACACAGATACAGAGCACTGTCATCATCACAGAGCATTCTGTTGGACAGCACCTATATTCCTAATGAATCAGAAATTATCCGTGGTTTTTCAAGCCATATCCAGGAATAAGTTACCACAGTGCACAAGACTGAAAACTATGCCCTATCAACCATGGCCGATGGCCTTGAGAGGATTTAGGTATTAAAATGGTAGGGAGCATTATAGTGATACTGGAAATAATATTTCATATGTTAAAGTAAAGCTCATTAATTGTTCCAAAGTTACAGCCTTTACAAAAATGTATCACAACTACTCAGGAGGCTGAGGTGGGAGGACTGACTGAGCTCCAGAGGTGGAGATTGCAGTGAGCTGAGACTGTGCCACTGCGCTCCAGCCTGGATGACAGAGTGAGACTAAGTACTGAACAAGTGATATATAGTAGAAAATAAATCTGAGGAACAACAGACAAAGGTTTTCATGCAGACTGAAATCGAAGTGGTGCTTAAATAGCAACAAGTAGGGTCTATGTATATGTTAAACATGTAATGTCAAATGTTCTATTTGTGAGTAATCACAATCTGTCCTTGTTTCTTTTCTTATTGTAAGTTTTGCACATTCTAAGCTTGAATATTTTCTCTTTGATTGCTAGCTAGATAAATTCCAGTACTTCAGCCTTGAGATGGTATGTTCCAAATCCCGGTATGGGGAGAAAGAAACCTCAGCAAGACTAAATGAAGTCATTGTTTCTTCTCTAGTGGCTGCCAGAAAAACAACAGTACACTTCATCATAAAAGTGTCCTTGCAAACATTATTTATAACAAAGGAGTCTTGTAAGACGCCCACATTTCAGAGGTTGTTGCTATGACCTATACAAGTAACCTTTGACCTCTAAAGTTTAGTTGGCTTTCTTGCTTACTAATGCCTTCTCCTGGTAGTAATAGTTAAATCAACATCTCTGTTTTCTGAAGAGTATTTGGTCACATGCGTGTTCTGTTAAGCCAGAAGGATATATGATACCTCCTTCTCCTCCATGAGCACATAAAATAAAAAAAAAACTAGTTTTGCTGAATATCTTATTTACTGAAGAGATTAACATTTATTTAACAAACGCCGCACTAAACCGGAAAAGTAAAACAATTCCAATTTCAGGTGATCCCATTTTTATGAACAACTTACGTTAATTGATTTGATACAGATTTTTAAAAAAAATCTGTGAAATTAAAATTCAGTTAAACTCAACAGATATTTATTATGTGTGGGCACTAAAGGAGAAATCATGAGTCAGTAATCTAGTATATCTACATATAAATGGTTTCTAGTCATTTCCTATCAAATAGAATATAGCTATAATCATATAAATTATGTTAATAATACATATATAGGCCAAGTATGATGGATCGTGCCTGTAATCCTAGCATTTCGGAGGCCAGGGTGGGCAGATCACTTGAGCTCAGGAGTTCAAGACCAGACTGGGCAATATGGTGAGACACTGTTTCTACAAAAAGTACAAAAATTAACTAGGCATGGTGACATGTGCCTGTAGTCCCAGCTACTTGGGAGACTGAGATGGGAGGATGGCTTGAGCCTGGGAGGTAGCAGTTGCAGTGAGCTGTGATCTGTAGTTCTGTTGCCCACTGCATTTCAGCCTGGGCAACAGAACTACAACCTGTCTTAAAAATAATTTAAAAAAAATGTATATTAGAATACACTGGTATGTAAGTAATATTTAAGACATTAAATATTTTGAGCACTTACATGCTAGACATTAAGCACTTTATGTGTGTTTACACTTTTAATTCACACAACCTTATAGATACATTTAATAATCCCTTTGCTCACAGGTGAGGAAAGTGAAGCACAGAAATGCTCAATAACTTTACAGTTACAAATCCAGAGAACAGAGGAATAATGCACAACTAGAAAGCAAACATTAAGAAAACAGTTATATAAGAATGGAAAGACTCGGGGAACTGGTTCACACCTATAATCCCAGCACTTTGGAAGGCCAAGGTGGGAGGCCAGAAGTTCATGACAAGCCTGCATAACATAGTGAGACCCAGTCTCTAAAAATTTTTTAAAATATTAGCTGAATGTGGTGCTACACACCTGTAGTCTCAGCTACTAAGGAGGCTGAGACAGAAGGATTACTTGAGCCCAGGATTTTAGGCTGCAGTGAGCTATGATTTTGCCATTGTACTCCAGCCTACGCAACAGAGCAAAACTCTGCCTGAAGAAAAAGGAGCATTTAAAGGAAAGTGACACTAACGTAGGTTGAAAAAGGAACACCATTCCCCCAAGGTTCAGATGTGCTCTCCTCAACACTGGAGGCCATGTCCTAGCTAAGCGGCATTACCCTACTGTTTAATTTTAAAGGAAAAAGAACATACCTGAGGTGACAGAAACTTTTCAATGCGTTTGGCTATAAAACCTTTCTCCAATATGGAGTTGACTGATGGTCTATCCCTAGGATTTCTTTTAAATAATTGAGACACCAAACTGCGGAGATCATAGGAATAATGCAAAGACACAGGTGGAAAAGATCCAGATATTATCTTCAGAACCAGGTTTTTCATACTGCCAGCTTCAAACTAAAATCCAGAAAATAAATAACATACATGAAACATATATAAATTGAAACTGAGAATATCAGCAATAAGAAATAGTTCTTTTCCTATCAATATAGAAGTACAATCCTCTTCCAAATAATTATGTTTTCTATATCAAAGTTTACTTGGTTACCTATAAATATCAGCCCTAAAAAAATAAAATGTTATAACTTGTCGTAAGAGTAATTTTAACTTATTCAAAATATTTAGGTCGGGAGCAGTGGCTCACGCCTGTAATCCCAGCACTTTGGGAGGTCAAGGTGGGCTGATCATGACATCAGGAGTTCAAGACCAGCCTGGCCAAGATGTAGAAACCCTGTCTCTACTGAAAATACAAAAATCAGACAGGCGCAGTGGCAGGCACCTGTAATCCCAGCTACTCGGGAGGTTGAGGCAAGAGAATCACTTGAACCTATGGGGTGGAGGTTGCAGCAAGTCAAGATCATGCCATTGCACTCCAGCCTGGGCGACAGAGTAAGACTGTCTAAAAAAAAATAAAAATAAAAATTTAAAGATGGGAGGAAAGTTTCATAAACTATGACAATAATCAAAATGGTCAAAGACTATGCCTTAGAGGTAGAAAAATTAGGGCCAAAGAAACACAAGCAGAAAAAGAGCAACCTTCTGGTCTTCATTTAAGGTCTGCTTTTTAAAGTGGCTCTGTTGTAATGACTAGAACAAGAAATTAACTACAGAACTAAAAGCATTGAGGGAAAATATAATATATAAAAATACCAATACTTTCCTTTTAGACAATGCTCACTGTTGTGTGTGTGTGATGCTCCTAAAAGCTATGGAAATCAGCAATATAGAAAATATTTTAATCGAAATATATGTCAGAATTAAACACAATATAAACTCTAAAAAGAAAACAAGAGGTGGGGTAGTTTAAAATCTGAAGATTTCGTTTTGAAAGAGAGTATTATTAAGCTTTTGATATCTCCACTAAAATATTACAGAACAATTGTACAACGTTGATATCTTAATACACACATTAAGAAAATAAAATAGGCCGGGCGTGGTGGCTCACGCCTGTAATCCCAGCACTTTGGGAGGCCGAGGCGGGTGGATCACGAGGTAAAGAGATCGAGACCATCCTGGTCAACACGGTGAAACCCTGTCTCTATTAAAACTACAAAAAATTAGCTGGGCATGGTGGTGAGTGCCTGTAATCCCAGCTACTCAGGAGGCTGAGGCAGGAGAATCGCCTGAGCGTAGGAAGCGGAGGTTGCGGTGAGCAGAGATTGCGCCATTGCACTCCAGCCTGGGTAACAAGAGTGAAACTCTGTCTCAAAAAAAAAAAAAAAAAAAAAAAGAAAATATACTATAAATTAGATATCGGTGATTATAAAAGTCCTATTAAATGTTGAACTCTCCTAAATGGTATTTGAGTAAATTCAATCTAAAGGAAATATCTATACACTTAAATAGGAATCCTAAATGCATGAAAGATGTGGTTCTCTATTCCAATGCACTTTTGTTTATCTCTGAATTGACATGCTCTTCATAAAGGGTGAGTTACTGAATTTTACCTATCTTAAAACACATGCTACTTAAGAGTAAACAATTCTAAAATACAGAGGATACAGTGACAGAATAATGTAGACGAAAGATTTTTTTTTAAAACCCAAAAACCACTGGTTTAAAGCTAAAATAACCATGTTGCAGAAAAACTGATCAATTATTTCAAATAAGCATCTGATAATCACCATCCCACATTACTTTGTCAGCTTATGTTTTTTTCCTTAAGAAAGAAAAAAAACCCTAAGGCAATATAGTAAGAGAGTATGCAATCATTAAAAAGAATGAGAAGGAAAAATATTCTGCAAATAGTATTAAGCAATAAAAACAGGCTATAAAGCTTCTTATAAAGTCTCATCAAACTTTTGAGGGAGAAGAAATAAATTTCGTTTTACAGGCAGTCAATACTGGTGGGAAGAACTGCTTATAATCCTTATTCACTTCTTTATATTTTTATGTATTTTCTGAAGTTTTGTATAATGAAAATACAAGATTGTTTTCATCAGTGGGTAAAACATGCTAATCACCTTCCATTTCAAAAAACTGCTTTTTTAAAGAATCAACCTACTTAGGACAAGAACTCTCCCTTTTTAGTGTGCTATATGTTATTTCAAAAAAGTCTCAAAAGTAAAAATTTTAAATACTCTGAATGATTACTTAAATTGATAAAAGTCATCAATGAATATATTGAAATGAAATTCTTTAAATTAGTTCAATTCCAAATTCAAATAATCTGGGTATTGTGAGAGAATTCACTAAAATGAAACTAGTAAAGTTTGTTAAGCTAAAATATCAAATTCATACTAAATTTAACATTAAGAAAAAAGCAAAATTTATTTCTGACATTAGAAATTATCTTCTGGAAAACTGCATGAAACATTATATAATAGCAAATATACTAGATATGCAAATATATTAAGGGAAATCAATTTATGCTTCAGAAAAAATGAGAAGTTTAAAAATGGACTTAGAGAATTTCTAGGATGAGGGTTATCTAAAAGATGGTAAACTTTAAATATAATAAAAAACATTACAGTGACTTTTTGACATAACTTTAAAAATATTTCAGAAACTTCTACTTACAGCATGTTTAAGTGTACACAGCTCATAAAGGACACACCCCAGAGCCCAAATGTCACTAGAGAAGATAAAAATGAGAAATTTTCTCTAAGTATCAGAATGTACTTTAAAATTTTTTCATTTAAAGGAAACATAAATAGCATAAAAATGTTTTGGAAACATAAGTGCTTCAGAAAAAATTTCCTTTAAAACTAAAAATTTCAACCATAATCAAATGACAAAAGTAGCTGTCCCAGATTAGAAAATGGTTACCCCAACAATTACTTTAAGCTCCATTAAAGAAATTTAATATTTAAAAGGACAATATTTCAAAAATTCATGTAAATTCTATTTATTCTATTTCATAAAACCCAAACTGTTTTTATCAGTTATTTGTAAAATACCATGATTTAAAAAATTATGAAACAAAATATTATTTTAATAGACATTAAAAATTTATTAAGAAATTTGCAACAGCTACTGACCAACATTACTTTGGTTGGGATTTTCCAACTAGAGAGGAAAAATAAAAGGTAGCTGGAATTTAATGACAGGATTGCTCTCGTCACCCACATAGTATATATATAGTCTGTTAGCCAGACTATAGAGCTGTGATTAGAAATAGGGGATTGGGAGCCAGATGCCTAGTTTAGATGCTGATTCCATCACTTATTAGACTCAAGGATTTCAAAGTTGTTACTTTACCTCTCTCTGCATTTGTTTTCCTTATAAGAAGAGAAGGAATGATTAATACCTATATCTCCCAAAATTATTGTGAAGACTAACAGAATACATAGAACTCAAAACAGTACCTGGCTTATAGCGTGTTCAAGAAATATCAGCAATAATTCAATAGGAAGTGATTATCACGAAGAAAAAAACCAAGGAAAGCACTCTATTTTCAATTATAGCATAAATAATAAAATGATTCTGTAGTTCCTCCAGCAAGATAATCAAACAGCTTTTTTACAATTCCCCTCACCATATATTAACAAAATATTTATATATATACATATGTTTACATGTGTGTATTGTTGACTTTAGAACAGTACTCTAAAGGTTAATAAACATGACATAACAAAAAGATTAAGAAATACATTATATAATGAATATCATTTTAAATACCTTTTATTGTTGTAAGGTTTGTTTTCACAGATTTCAGGTGACAAGTAGTATGGGGTCCCTATGCAAGTTCGAGCCAGCTCTACAGTACTAGAGAAAAAGAAAATTACTGGAGAAGCTTAAGACACAGTCATGTGCCACATTAATGCTGTTATTGGTCTATAACAGATCGCATATATGATGCTGGTCCCATAAGATTATAATGAAGCTGAGAAATTCCTAACAACTAGTGACATGGTGATTGTCATACACTATAGAGCAATTACTTTATTCAAAAAATTTAGGGTAGCCTAATGTACCGTGTTTATAAACTTTACATTAGCACACAGAAATGCGCTAAGTCTTCAAATTCACTCACTACTCCCTCATTCACAGAAAGCAACTTCCAGTCCACTAAGCTCCATTTATGATAAGTGTCCCACAAAGATATATCATTTTTTATCTTTTATATTGTATCTTTTCTGTGTTTAGATATGTTTAGATAAATATTTATCATTATGTTACAATTTCTTACAGAATTCAGAACAGAACATGCTGTACTGGTTTGAAGCCTAGAATGAACATGCTACACCATCAGCTTGCCTGTGTAGTATGCTACATCATCTAGCATTGTATAAGTACACTCTGCAACATTCACACACTGACGCAATCACCTACTGATGCCTTTCCCAGAACATATCCCAATAAAGCAACATCCCAGTAAAGAATGTACGTAAAGATAATACAAATTATCACATATACATCATCATGGATTGAAGTTTCACTGAAAATACTGTATCAAAACAATGCTGAAAATTCACGTTACCTATTAAGAACTCTAGCAATTCCAAAATCTCCAAGTTGTACGGTTCCATCTTTAGTTAAAAATATGTTCTGTAAAAGACAGGGGGAAAAAAAAAAAACCCTAGAAATATTGTTACAGTCCAGTTCTGAGTCAACAACATTTTTCATAAAATTCATAATCCAGTTAAAAAATTGTGCTGGAGTTACTGGATGTTCACATACAAAAGAATAAATGAAGTCCCTTACTGCAAATCATATACAAAAATTAATTCAAAATGAAGTATAGATCTAAATATAAAAACTAAAATATAAAACTCCTAGAGAAAAACATAGGAATAAATCTTCATGTTGTTGGGCTAGGGAATGGTTTCTTCGATATGATATCAAAAGCACACGCAAAAAAATTAAAGAAGATAAACTGAACTATCAAAATTTAAAAATTTTGTGCATCAAAGGACACCATCAAGAAAACAGAAGAACATTTTTAGAAATCATAGATTTGAAAAAAGACTTCTATCTGGAAAAGGACTTGCATAACTCAACAATGACAACAAAAAGACAAATAGTCTGATTTAGAAATAGGCAAAAGGGGATGGGCACAGTGGCTCACACCTGTAATCCCAGCACTTTGGGAGGCTGAGGCAGGCAGATCACTTGAAGTTGGGAGTTCATGACCAGCCTGGCCAACATGGTGAGACTCCATCTCTACTAAAAATACAAAAATTTGCCAGGTATGGTGGCAGGCACCTGTAATCCCAACTATTCAGGAGGCTGAGGCAGGAGAATCACTTGAACCTGGAAGGCAAAGGTGGTTGCAGTGAGCCTGAAATTGCATTACTGCACTCCAGCCTGGTCAAAAGTGTGAGACTCCGTCTCATAAACAATAAATAAATAAATAGGCAAAAGGCACATACTTTATACTTTATAATATCCATTTATATAAAATGTCCAGGATAAGCAAATCCATAGAGAGAGAAAGTGGATTAGGGGTTACCAGAGTCTAGGTGGAGAGGAATGGGAACTCACTGCTAATGGGTATGGGGTTCTTGATGGAGTGATAAAAAATGTTCTGGAAGTTTTAGAGACTGGGAAGGAAAGTAATTTTTAGAGTATGGGAAGCAAACAGGAGATCTAATACAGGACGCAGATGAATAGGATAAGAATTAAGAGACAATACAGATAATCTGATATGCTCTAAATCAGGTTGAAAAATTTCCACCCAAGACAATGAAGGTTTTCAGCTCTTTATCCATTCAGAAGTTATCAGTGACAGAATAACATACCTGTGATTTTATGTCTCGATGAAGAATTTTTCTATCATGTACATGTTTCAGGGCCAAACATATCTGTACAAACCAGTCCAAAATCTAGGAAGAAAAATCAGATCTGTCATTTCTTTTAAAATTTACAATTCATAGTAGCCTTTCCTTGACCATTAAAAGAATTCGAGAATATTTAGAGATGAGAGGAACTAAATCCTTAAAAAAATATTTTAGGCAGCCAGGTGTGGTGGCTCACACTTGTAATCCCAGCACTTTGAGTGGCTGAGGCGGGTGGATCATGAGGTCAGGAGATCCAGACCATCCTGGCCAACATGGTGAAACCTTGGATCTAATAAAAATGCAAAAATTAGCCAGGTATGGTGGTGGGCACCTGTAATCCCAGCTACTTGGGAGGCTGAGGCAGGAGAATTGCTTAAACCAGGGAGGCAGAGGTTGCAGTGAGCCGTGATGGTGCCACCGCACTCCAGCCTGGTGACAGAGCGAGACTCCATCTCAAAAAAAAAAAAAAAAAATTAGGCTACAATTTCTTTCAACTTTGTAGGCACTGACATTAGATAGATACTCAAGTCAACATAAGCTCTGCACATACTTAATTTAAAATGTAAGACATGCTACTGAGTCATCTCTTCTAAATCAAAATGAATGTGGAAAGTATGAGTAAAAATGGAAATAATTTAATTTTATAATAGTAAGAGGTGATTCTTTTTTGTTTTTAATACATCCTATAATGGAAACAATTTATATTTTATAATAGTAAGACAGGTGTTTCTTCTGTGTTTTTAATACATCTTTTTTCCATAATGCCCCTCCTCCCCCTTTTTTGGGATAGGGTCTTGCTCTATCACCCAGGCTGGAGTGCAGCATTATCACAGCTCACTTCAGCCTCAAACTCCTGGGTTTAAATCACCCTCCAGCCTCAGCCTCCCGAGTGGCTAGGACTATGGTGCATGCCACCATGGGTGGCTAATTATTTATTTATTTATTTTATAGAGACAGGGTCTGGCTATGTTGCCCAGGCTAGCGGTCTTGAACTCCTCGTCTTGAACTCCTGGCCTCTGGAGTTCCTGAGGATTCAAGTATTCCTCCTGCCTTGGCCTCCCAAAGTACTGGGATTACAGGTATGAGCCACCGCATCTGACATGTATAATGCTTTTTAAAAATCTAAATAAAAATCATAAGAGGAAAAAAGCTGGAAATTTGGAAGACATCTCTGACTTTTTCTTTTCCCACATTAATTACATAGAAACATTCTTCTCTGGAGATGGCCACTTGGAAATAAAAAGGCTTAATTTCTATCTCATTCTTAACATCAAAATAATTCCAAGTACATGGCATTTTTAAACTAAAAAAATCCATAAAATAATAAAACATAGGTTAATTATCTGTAACAACTGACTGAAGCAGGACTTTCAAAACATGACATAAAATGCTTAAGTCATAAGAAAAAGACTGAAAAAATTGACTACATACAATTTAAAACACCTGTATGGCAAAATACATAATCAAGTTTAATAATAATTTGGGAAAATATCTGCAACATAAATGATAGACTGCTAGTTCTCTAAGATGCAAAAGTTATTCAAATCACTGAGAAAAATACTGGCAGACAAAATAAGCAGACAAAAGACTGGAAACGCAAATGATGGAGGGAAAAAAGGGCGGAAAAACACATAAAGTACTAAACTCCCTCCCAAATTAAAAAAAAAATTAAGATACCATATTATTTTGCTTAAAATGAAATATGACATACTGTTGGTCAGAAAGTGGGGAAATAAGCATTTTTCTCACAGGTGTTTGTAAAAAAGTTAATTATAATCATTTGTCAAAATATGTCAAAATTTTAAATTCACATACCATTTTAAACAGCAATTTCAATTTCAAATTTATCCTACCCATATAGCAACAGAAACATAAAACAATGTATATAAGATGTTTACTCTAGCACTGTTAGCCAGAACCCTAAAATATAAACAACCTGAATGTCCATCAAGGGGCCTGATTAAATATTTTGTATTATCATTATACTAGAAATATTATGCAGCCACTGACAAGAATGAACCACTTCTATGTATACTGTTTATGTACTATTAAGTGAAAAAAGGAAGTTCTAAAACAGTATGCATAGTATGCCCTATTTAAAAAAAATATGCTTACATTCCATACCTGAACTCTATGTAAGCGTGTGTGAACATTGAGGAAGGAAAGAAGGAATAAAGGAAGGAAGTATAGAAGTTTATTGATCCATAGCAAAGACCATTGAGGGAGATGGGAAAGTAAACCAGTAATTAAAGGGAGGTAATGCCCTGAGTGTTGAAGAAGCATAGAGAAGGACAGCCAACTCAGCCTGGAGGTGATAAAATAAAGCTGAACAGAAGAGGTGATTCCTGAGCTCAGTTTTGATGGAATATATAAGTAAAGCAGAGAAGGCAGGCACAGCTTGTAAAATATAAGCATAAATGTTACACTTCCATTCCCCTTGTCTACCCTAGTTCAGGCTGTGGCTACATTAGGGTTTGACTACTGGGGTAGGAGTAGGAGGAGAGGGAAGCCCTTTAAAGCTGTAACCCTGCTTCTAATCTGTGCTTATTTCATTGTACATATTAGTTCCATATTAATATTTACAAAATACTGTTTTGAAAATGGCATTCTCTTTCTCAGAAGACTTTTACATTCAAATGTTATGTTGTATTATATCAAGTACCATATGTAATTATCATATAGTTGTCTGAATTACAGTTGTATGTTATTTTGCATGAGTACGGACTGTACTAAGATCCATCTTCTCTGCTCTAAAACAGAGATTTCTATGTGTAATAAAATGTATTAGAATTTTCCCAAATATGCTCAGTTTTGATGGGTTTATTCATTAATTTTCTAAAGGCATGAGAAGGTTTTAGTGCCAAATATTATATTAATTGAAAAACTTGAACTTAGTTTCTCTATCAGAATGGTAAACTGATCTTGGAGCTCCTAACTAGAAGCATGCTTACCATCTACTGTCTGTGTGACCTGCTCAAAGAGTAGATATTTCATGTCTACCAGAATAATTTTCTCTGCTTTAAACTGCTTTTATCACTTGATGTTTTTGAAGAAAGGTTCCTCACTATGAAGATCCCTATAAGTGTATTTCCTTCATTTATATTTTAAGATATTTTGTCACTTTGATTAAATAAGTAACCAAAGAATGTTACTGGCCGGGCGCGGTGGCTCAAGCCTGTAATCCCAGCACTTTGGGAGGCCGAGGCGGGTGGATCACGAGGTCAAGAGATCGAGACCATCCTGGTCAACATGGTGAAACCCCGTCTCTACTAAAAATACAAAAAATTAGCTGGGCATGGTGGTGCGTGCCTGTAATCCCAGCTACTAGGGAGGCTGAGGCAGGAGAATTGCCTGAACCCAGAAGGCGGAGGTTGCGGTGAGCCGAGATTGCGCCATTGCACTCCAGCCTGGGTAACATGAGTGAAACTCCGTCTCAAAAAAAAAAAAAAAAAAAAAATTTCGGGATACTTCTCATTGTAACTATTAGCTCAACATTGCCATAAGACCTGCCTGGGAAGACTTGCCAAATTTAAAAAGATGCTCAGTCTTTCCTAGGATAAGTCTGCATAGGTAAAATGCTGTATTTCATAAAATGCATGCTTTATGAGAACGCCCCGGAGATTTGCCCGTAACTTTGCTCTCCATTTTTAACCTCAATAAAATCACTTATCAAGCCCTTATCAAATCTATGTACTCTACCCTGATGAAAATTTTATTCTATTATTGGTTACTATAATAAACTAACCACAGCCTTTCAGTCTCATTATCAAATAGGCCTTTGCTGCTTGATGCTTGCCAGAAAGCTCCTGAACAGGACCATACCAGGAATGCTGAACTACTGGTACTTCAGAAAACAGACTCTTGGGTACAAGTTTCTGACCTAACATTGCTTAGATGATCAAGGAACTTATCAATGAACTGAGTCAGAATTTCTTTAAGACTTTTTTAGTCCATCAGCTGACAAACATCATGAAAGCTAACCACTTGACCCAAGGTCAAGAATAAGAATTACGAGGAATGAATAAACTGAATTAAATGAGATTTAATTGTGGTTGTTTGGAATATGATTGGTATTATCTTTAATGTTCAAAATTTAATGAATAGATGAGGAATCCCTTTTTTTTCTTAAGCTGTATCTAATTCTCAATTTATGCTTTTATATACTTAAAATGATATTCGATCTTAAATCTTCTCAGAATTCAGAAGCAAATTGTTTTAAGTATTTTCACTTTTCAGGACAATATTGTAATTTTCATGGGTTCAATAGGAACCTTTTTAGCAAAATGTAACTGGACAAATCAATTGTGCAACCAAGGCCATACCTGAAGTGTCTTATTTAATTTCCATGTAATCAGTAATGACAAACCCACTACTAAGAAATACATGTGGAACCAATATTTACATACTACTGCCAAGAAACTGTCCTGTTATCTAACTTACAGGGTCCCTGTGTCATAAGTGGTAAAGTCACTTCCTAGCAACCAGGGACCCTGACATATTTGGAGACTCTCAAAAAGAAAAAAAATTCGCCCCAATTTATAGGTAGTACAGGTGAAATTTGGTAGAGACTGTACTGGGCTGAGTTTCCTGACGTTGGGCTAAAAGAACAAACAACAAAATTTTTAAAAATCATCAATCCAAGATTCCTTATGAAAACTTACAGACAGAAATAAATTCTGTAACCTTAGTAGTTGTTTGATCACGTAAGGCTCTAGGTTTTCAGCGCAAACACAAGTTCGTTGCTTAATTAACACTCTTGTTGCACCTACATATTTGGACCAACCCTAATGAGTCCAGATTTTATTTTGATCAAGAACATATTCTGAAAATAAAAGAAACTCATTCAAAACTTGCAAATAAGGCAAAAATACTGGTACACCTTTAAAATATCTATCTAGAGACTGTCTAAGGGAATATACTTAGTTCATCTCATTATTCTCTATTAATAAAGTCATAGACTTAAGTTGCTTCTTAACCTAACTAGATTTTTGTCCAGTAAAGATGCAAACAAGGAAGTATCATCGAAGAGAATGGCTTGAGTAGCTGGAGAATTATCTGTTTCACAGGTCTTCCTGTTCCCCACTTATGTGCTAGAAATGTACAAAATCTTCTCCAACTAATGCCAAGCTACACTCTAATGGAGCTCTAAGTTTTCCTGTTTCAAAGCCCAGAATGTAGTTTAAATAACCTCTTCCTATTTTAAACAGGCTAAAATAAACAGCATCCTTATTTGGGCTAACAAAACTTGCTATTCAGAAGGGTGGAAAAAAATGTGATCAACCTAAAAGAATGCCTTGTCAAATATTTGTCTTTTATGATGAATAACTTCACTGACAGAGGAATGACACATATCTCCATAACAATTTCCAGGAAGACAAGATACAAGCATGTACGTACGTACACACACACACACCCCCCATTATGTACTAAAAGTATGTATCAAAGAGTAGTAGAATCAAATCTACAGAATATCAATGTGCTTTATAGTGGAATATCATTTAATAGCAAACATTTTAAAGTTTGATAGGGGTAAATGAAAATAAGCACAATGAAATATATCTGACAATGTTCTAATAAAAATAGCACTGTATATACTAACATACATTACTATTTGACCTTTACAATATGTATAGTAGGTATCTCCCTATTGACAAATGAAGAAATAATCTCAGACCTTGTTAACAGAACAATTATCAAGTTGATAAGTAGAGCAAGGACTCAAACCCATGTCTGTGTGTACCTGGCCAGAAATGGCACAGTGGCTCATACCTATAATCCCAGCACTTTAAGAGGCCAAGGTAGGAAGATTGCTTGAAGCCAGGAGTTTGAGAACAGCCTGGGCAATATAGCAAGACCTCATCTCTACAAAATAATAATAATAAAAAATTAAAAAAGAAATTAGCTGGGCTACTCAGGAGGGTGAGGTAGGAGAATTGCTTGTGCTCAGGGGCACAAGGCAGCAATGAGCTGTGATGGTGCCACTGCACTCCAGCTCGGGTGACAGAGCAAGAGCCTATCTTAAAAACAGTAATAATATTTCATTTCTGAATGTGTGTGTCTTAATGCACATATATATGTACAAGTATGGAAAAGAAAGTCTGGAAGAATATACCAAACTAAAAACAGTGGTAATCTCAGGAACAAAAGGGTGGAGAAAGCCTTTCCATTTCTGTATACTTCAATACTTTTATAATTTAAATGTGGGTAAAGAAAATGTTAGAAACTTTAGAGTTAGAGGTGGGTTCAAACACTATGTGATTTGGGGCAAGTCATGTAACCTCCCTTGGACTCCTTATAAATTGAAACAATGTATCCAAATTAGAAGAGATAACAAATACAACACTCCCAGCAAGGTGCTCCCTCTAATCCCCTATGTAAAAGCAGGCAATTCAAATAAAGAACCAATGATGAGAAATGTGATAGGCGTGTAGAGAAGGAAACCGATTAGAGTAGTTATGGAAAATTTAAAGAAGCTGGGACTTGAACTGAGCTTTAAAAAAGGTAGAGTATTAATAACACAAAGTCTGAGGAAAAGGCTTGCCAAAATAAATGAAATAATCAGAGTAAATACACAGGAAGGAGAATGAAATGTACAAACATGTGGCCCAGTGCCTAACACAAAGTACATGCTCAATAAATATCTGTTAAATTGAATGAAAAGAGGTACAGATTAGGAAATAGAAAAAAATAAGGCTGCTTAGGTAGGGTAGGGCCATATTCTAGAGATCTGACAAACCAAAAGAGAGATTAGATTTCATACAGTTGCCAATGCAAGGATTCTAGAGCTGGAGTTACCTGGCAAAGCCACGTTTTAGGAATATATAGTCTGGCAGCAGTAAGCCAGATTGACATGATATAGATTAACCAGTTATAATGAATAATTAAGGCATATAGACACATGTTATATATAACATACATCACACAGATAACAATATCTCATTACAGTCTGCAAATTTGATGGGCAACTGAACAAAGGTGGCAGCTAATTAGAGGGAAAAATGATTAAAATATTGATATAACACCAAACTGCCCTAGTAATTATAGTTAGCATTTACAGTTAAAATACACACATAAACAAATTTTGAACTACTTCTCCATAATAGAGTAAGAGTCAATTTCCCACATGCAAACTTACCTGATCCTCTTGAAACAAAACACCTTTCTGAGCATTTATTCGCTTAAACAGATCCCCTCCCTCACAGTAATCCATCACTATGTAGAGAGAGCCATTTTCTACAAAATATAAACATTACAGTCCACTTTTAAAAACATACATCAGAAGCATGACTAAATTAAAGGTACTTTAAGGCTTACTAAAAAGCAGCTGCTAAACAGAAAACAGGACCACACTCAAAGAAATAGGGCACAAAGTCAAGGTATACCAGTAACACAGATTGTTTAATGACTTGGGTTAACAGAAAACTCCATCATTAATGATTTCTACTAAAAATACACCATCTTATTGAATAGCACTGTTTACATTGACCTAAACATCTCTGAAATATAAACAAAATGCAGATAAATATACTTGATTTCATTCAGTAAATACAATTCCTTAAATGTCACATATAAAGTCATGTTTTTTCGTCAATACATCATATCAGAGATGGGTTTAGTTTTCCAACTGGCCATTAATTCTCAGCTTTGTTTTATCCACTTCAGTCAATTATTTATTAAACAAATACAATAATAAACGTTGTGATAAACTCTAAGGATTCAGCAGTGTATATGACATAATAGGACACAGTTTCCACCCTCTGGGACCTTTCTTTGATTTATGCTCTTTTTAAAAAACTGTATATGATTGGTGAACAAACATGGAGATGGGCACTATCCCATCCACCTTTATGTCTTGGTTCACATAAAGGGAGAAAGGGACTTCTATGCCACTTCTTATGGATAAAAAGGACTAGAAGAACACTTCTTTTTTTAATTGAGGCTTTTTTTTTTTTTTTTTTTAAGAAAAAGGGTCTCACTATTTTGCCCATGCTGACCTTGAGCCCCTGGGCTCAGGTGAACCTCTCGCCTCAGCCTCCCCAACAGCTGACACTACAGGCCCATGCTACTGTATCCAGCTTAGAAGAACACTTATTCTTTTCATCCTTTACTTCTCAGGTAAGGAAGAGTGGCCAATAAAACTTTTAACACTTTCTGAATCACCACATAGTACTGAGACTATCACAACTCAAAGAACGGTTTTCCTAGTTCTCACTTATTTTACCATTTGTGCTATGGTCTTAATTACATAGCATTTTTTATTTTTCTTTTGAGACAGGGTCCAGGCTAGAGTGCAATGGCACGATCATGGCTCACTGTAGCCTCAAACTCCCGGGCTCAAGCAATTCTCCCACCTTAGCCTCTCAAGCAGCTGGAATCACAGGCATGCATCACCACATCTGGCCGATTTTTAAATTTTTTTGTAGAGATGGGGTCTCCCTATGTTTCCCAGGCTGTTCTCAAAATCTTGGGCTCAAGAGATTCTCTGACCTCAGCCTCCCAAAGCTGTTGAAATTAACAGTTGTAAGCCACCTTGCCCACCCTCCAGGAATATTTATTTCTTATACTTTGTATTGACATTCTTGTCACTCATAGTGCACATATCTTCTTTTGATCTACTGCTTGTAATGTGCCATTGGGATAAGAAGCTATGATAAGCTCATTAAGAATCTCTATGACTTTTTATGATTGACCTGGAAAGATCATCCAAATATACATGTGAGAAATTATAATGTGAAAAAAACTCCTGAAATCTGTATAATTCACTATTTATAAAATAAGTATAGATGTTATAATGTATGTAGCATAACAAAAAGCAAAAAATTACATAGAGTATGCTATCATTTTTTTTTTTTTTTTGAGACGGAGTTTCACTCTTGTTACCCAGGCTGGAGTGCAATGGCACGATCTCGGCTCACCGCAACCTCCGCCTCCTGGGTTCAGGCAATTCTCCTGCCTCAGCCTCCTGAGTAGCTGGGATTACAGGCACACACCACCATGCCCAGCTAATTTTTTGTATTTTTAGTAGAGACGGGGTTTCACCATGTTGACCAGGATGGTCTCGATCTCTTGACCTCGTGATCCACCCGCCTCGGCCTCCCAAAGTGCTGGGATTACAGGCGTGAGCCACCGCGCCCGGCTGGAGTATGCTATCATTTGTTTGTCATGAGCATGTATTCTTTTAAAACTCAGAGAAATAATAAAGCCTTATTTTTAATATACGTCACCCCTTTTGAATCATACAGATATTTCTATGTGAAGCCGCCAATATAAATCCAAAACATCTGCTGGAACATTTGCTCAAAACCTTTTAACTTGAAATATTAAAATTTTGTTAACAACAACAAAAAAAGAAACTAAAAAATGGATGCCAGGAGAAAGATAAAGGAAAAATCAAGGTCCTCAAAAGGAAGAATTGGTTAACATTGTACTGTTTCACATGACATATAAATCTTCATTTCACTACCAGAATAAAAAAAAATAGAGCACCTTATGACATAATATATTCACTGAATCACCTTTTTATAAAAGTACAACATACTTTTATTAAAGATACTGAGTTCATCTGGGAATATACTTTAGCTCTAATTCAGACTCTGAAACTGGTATGTGATATGTCCCTGAGTCATTTCACTTATCTTCTGCTTTCCATCTAGATTATCTTTCTGTTATTCAGTTTATAGAAATTTATAATAATGATGAAAATATTTGGGTAGGACTTCAATAAGCCACTTTGACTTGCCTTTAGAGAAGCTTTGTCTTATCTTAATACCTGCATTTATTAAATATAATGCACATAGTTCCAAAACAGCATAATAGCCATAATACTTTAAGAACTTAAGAAAACTGTCCATATACCTCAATATTATAACAGTGAAGTATACAGGAGCATACTGAGTAGGATACTTTCTAAAGGTCAGAACATTTTCTTGGTGGTAGCAGTGGCAGCACTTGCCGGAAGTTCAGTTTTAAAATATGTAAATTACTGTTCTTGCTCTGTCCAAATTCTTGCACTTCACTTACTACATTGCTTCTTTTAAAGCAATCACAGTAACAGCCAGTATTAAATTATACAGCTAAGGCACAAGAATCATTTGAACGTGGGAGGCAGAGGTTGCGGTAAGCTGAGATCATGTGCCTGCACTCCAGCCTGGGCCACAAAGCAAGACTCTGCCTCAAAACAAAACAAAACAAAACAAAACAAACAAAAATATGCAGACACAATATATCAGTACTGCCCTTGAATCAGTCTGATATTCATATGCATATATTTTTAAGCAAAAATGATATCTTTTTTCCTAAGAATGCATTCACAAAAAGATTAATGTCTTAGGATTTTTTAACAACTCTCTCACAAAATTTATCTGACCTTCAAATGATTCTCTATATTGGACAATATTTGGGTGCTTCATATTTGCCAATACTGCAACTTCTCTCCTTGATTCTTCTCTTTCTTTACTGGACATCTTAAATGGGAGGAAAAAGAAAATAGCAAATTAAACTATTAATAAACCACCTAAAATTCCATCAATGCAGGAGTAGTTAAAACATACTGGTATTAACACAGTTCAATCAACAAAACATAGCAAGAAGTTAAAAGAATGAGTTGAGGCCGGGCGCGGTGGCTCAAGCCTGTAATCCCAGCACTTTGGGAGGCCGAGGCAGGTGGATCACGAGGTCAAGAGATCGAGACCATCCTGGTCAACATGGTGAAACCCCGTCTCTACTAAAAATACAAAAAATCAGCTGGGCATGGTGGCACATGCCTGTAATCCCAGCTACTCAGGAGGCTGAGGCAGGAGAATTGCCTGAACCCAGGAGGCGGAGGTTGCGGTGAGCCGAGATCGCGCCATTGCACTCCAGCCTGGGCAACAAGAGCGAAACTCCGTCTCAAAAAAAAAAAAAAAAAAAAAAAGAATGAGTTGAATCTGTAAGTAGAAACATTTTAAGATGTCTAAACTAAATTAAGCTACAGAACAGCAAGTATATATTTCTAAATACATAAGCATAAGCACATATCATAGAAAAAATCTAAAAGAACATATATAGAGTATTCTGATATTAGCGGGAATAAAGCAGTCTTTTGGTTTGGTTTATAGATTACCTTTTCTTTTTTTTAAAAAGAAAATCTCTAACAATGAGCTCTATTGTAATCAAACTATTACTCATGAAACCAAACTAAAAATATACTTACTCTTGAGATGTTAATTTCCTTGATAACATACTGTCTGCCATCTTCTGTAGATTTAACAAGAATGGCTTTTCCAAATGAACCTTCTCCAATCTTCTGTAGTCTAACATACTTCTCCATGACTCTTTTTCTAAGGCATCTTTACAGATACGCTAGACATTTAGAAAACTAACAAAAAAGATAAAGCATTTACAACATGAGAGATAAAACATTATAACAATTTTAATGCTTAATTCAAATTCTAATTCTTTAGTGATTTGCTAACATTTAATAAAGGGATATTTAATACATTTACTAAAAGTTATACTTTCTATGCTTTACTACTAGAACCTAATTATACCTAAAAAGAGAGAAAAAAAGGCGATATTTCAATTTTGTAAGAATACTTTGGAAAGCCAAATACTGCATATATTTAACATGTATAGAGAGAAAGGCAAACTCTTCTTACCTGAATTAATTAGTAGCATTACTTTATTTTCTCCAAAGAGAAAGAAACCCAAATATACTACTTCCTGAAGTTATTTATCTAATCCCCTCTTATTCAACATTCATTTAAAATGTTTGCTATTATAGAACAATTTCAGATAGTTTTTGTACATATATTTTAATGTGCTTATTGTAAGCATTTCCTTTGGATAATTTCTGAATTCAACAAATATGCCCATGTGACAGTATGGCTTTCAAACAAATATCTTCAACAGAAATGTCTATTAATATATATTTAACCAGTAGTGCTTGCTACTAGATAACCTTATTGACACTGGTTATTATTATTTTTTATATTCAGGGAGATGTTTACTGTAATGTTATTTATAAAAACAAAATACTGTTTTTTATTAAAATCTTCAAGAAGCAATAAAGGGTAGTAAAGAACACTGAAACTTTAGAGTCAGAAAGCTTAGGTTTAAATCTTAGCTTTATCACTTATTTGTTATGTAACCTTAGCCAAGTTACTTATCTTTATGTGCTCAGTTTGGTCGTATGCAAAATGCGAATAACCATAGTACACATTTATGGAACTGCTGGAAGAATTAGTTAACGTAAGTAATGTACTAAAAACAGTGCTTGGCACATATGAGCACTGTGTCACTATTTGTTATTGTTGTTACTCCTTACGTCTAATGGAGAAAATGGTGTTTCATTTTTAATGTCTTTTGCTTACCACTGAATTTGAAAAATTCTTCCACATTTATTGAACTTTCTTTTTTTGAGATGGAGTATCACTCTGCCACCCAGGCTGGAGTACAGTGGTGCGATCTCGGCTCACTGCAACCTCCTCCTCCCACATTCTAGCAATTCTCCTGCCTCAGCCTCCCAAGTGGCTAGGATTACAGGTGTTCACCACCATGCCCAGCTAATTTTTATATTTTTAGTAGAGACAGGGTTTTGTCATGTTGGCCAGGCTGGTCTTGAACTCCTGAACTCAAGTAATCTGCCTGCCTCAGCCTCCCAAAACACTGGGATTACAGGTGTGAGACACCATGCCCTTTCTTCTCTTTTTAAATACTCATCCATGTTCTTTATTCATTTTCTATTGGGTTAGTCTTTAATTTGTAAAAACTCCTTATGTAATGAAGCCCTTATCTGTCATAAATAATTTTTCCCCTATAACCTGTTTGCCTGTATTTAAACATAAAGGTTTATTTTGATATAAACAAGTTCATGAATTTTTCTTTATATTTCCACTTTTAGTATCATACTTAAACCCTTATCATACCAAGAAAATTACTAGTTTAGCAATAGTAATTTCAAAAAAGTGGTCATTTCAGAACCCAGAATACAATAAGCTAGGTAGTGAAAGTTGAAAAAAGTGAAAGAGAGGAGTCATAAGAGCAATAATGTGTACCACCTACTGGCTATATCACCCTTATTGTAGACATCCATGAATTTACTATGCTAATCTAAAACTGATAAACATTTAATTCACCTAGCTTTCTCTGTTTTATTTCCATTCACAGAAGGCAGGCTTCCAGTGGATGATTCCTTTCTAGGAGAAAATAAGCTTGTTGGGAAACACTTTTTAAATTTCTGTGGCAGTTTACCACAAATAAATCCATGTTCTCATCTCATCCATCTCATGCTAAATTTATTTTTAACTTTATTTTGCCTCTAAAAAATGATACAATCTCCTTAGATGACAAACTTCATGTTCTGGGCCTGGAAGAGCAAACTACAGGCCAGAACTCAGCCTGTGGTAACAATGATGAGATAATTATGCTGCATGAAATTCTGTGAGAAAGAGCCTTTTTCTACCTTAGAAAACAAGAATACTTTTGGCAATTTTAAAAGAAACAAGAAATAAACCATTATTACAGCATTTTAGCGTCAGTGAGTTAAAGATGAAAAGTTGTTCCAAATATATTTAAGTCCAAGTTGTGTTAACTGGTACAACATAACAGCTATCTGGGCAACGGCCACAATGTAATGATTTCTCCAGAACATGAATGTTTCTTACATTACTATGCTACTTAGGGGAAAAAACACAAGATAAACTCATCTTAGCAATCTAAATTTCATAGATTAAATAATGGCCATATAATGAGATTATTTCACAACCATCCTTCTTCTGTGACTTTTTGCCAAGAGAGAGAAAACAAAATCAGTTAATTTGGCCATTCCTTAATAAGAATTTAGTTGCCAAGTCCTTTCTAGGGACCACACTAACAAGATGGAAGCTCCAGAAGTCCCTAGTGTTGCATTCTCCTGCCAACATTACTGAGCACGATGGCTCTAACCCTATAAAGCAGAAGAGAATCTACTGATCCTGTGAGTGAAGAAAGATGATTCTAATTGCCATCAAATACATCAAACGCAAACACTTTCCTGAACAACAAAAGACTTAGGGTAGATGACTTTCAGGAAAACAGACAAGCTCTCCTTTTTTGTAAAGTCAGTTGTACATTAGAGGAAGTAAAAGAGAAAACATGAAACAATAGATCTTACAATACATTTAACTGAGCTACTTTTTCCTAGTTGAGAGACTTCTCAACTGAATTATAATTCTATAAAATGTTTCAAACCAAATGAAATAGAAGACAAATTATACCACAAGCCTCCACATACAAAATCATAACTTATAACTGAAGGAACATACAAATCCTGTTGACTTCTGTATTGTAATAAACTCAAATTAATGTTTGCCTTTTCTAGCATTCAGTTTCCAATATCAAATGAAGATCACAATACCAACTTTACTCACTCTACAGTGTTCTTAAGGTCTCTAATAATTACACCAATTCAATCTCTATAATACATATCTGATCTTGAAGATAGGCAAAAAGGAAAAACTCAGAGACTTTTTTGATATTTGAGCTTTCCAAAGTTATGTCATATAATAAAGCAATGAATTCAGAATCAAGAGACAAGATTACAAGCTACATAATCAAAAGCTAACCATTTGCCTTCTGTGGACTTCAGTTTCTTTATTTAGAAACACAAAAGATTTAAACTTAATGCTGTTTTATGGACCCTACCAACTCTACTAGTCTATGACTCAGGGAGAAGAAAATTTAAAAGTCAGAAAATAAGAAACAGTAACACTGTTTAGAATTATACTCTTAGCCACAAAGAGTAAGAATGATGGTGAAAGCCATTCCATCAAAAAATTAAAAGAAGTCATGATACTAATTTCTTTAGCTTAATTCTTTAAAAAGTAAAAATAAATGAACTGCAATCTACAGTTAAGCATACTAGATTGACTATCCATCTTTACCTCTACTACTTCTCCAAACCTAACTCACATGACTTTAAAGGGATTACAGAAAGAGAAGAACAGAAGAGAAGGCCACAGCAATACAGTTCTGGAAGCTGGCAAACCCAAAAGGACACGCAGCAACCGACTTAGGAGACTAGAGAAAAGCTGTATTAAGCCAGCAGTGGGAAATAAGTCAGAAACAAGTCAATTCCCACCATAAACTAGCTCAGTAATTGGAAGTACTGGGGCATCCAAGAGTGAGGATAATATTAGTACTCAAACAGGATTGGTTAAAAGCCTGTGAAAGAAGCATCAGACACTCAGTTTGCCTCCTCCACCTCTCCCAGTCAGATAACGACTCCTCTCCCATCTAGAAAGGCCACAGGTATCTCTAGATTGGGTAAACTAGAGACAACTAAGAATGGAAATACCATCTATGATCTAGGAGACTGAGTGAAAATCTGCATAATAAAAGTGAGACTCTCTTTCAACCATGATGGTGCCCTTAGTATCAGTCCACCCCACCTTCAGAAACAATTTAAAACCTGTATAAAATATGTAAAGAAACAGCAATGCATTGACGGGTGATAATCATTGAAAGGGGGGAACATACTAGTGGGTTCTACATTCAGCCCAGCGTCTTCCCTGAAGAGAGTTTCCAAACTGTGCTACAGACCAATAGAGCTCAAGTATAAAGCAGCAGTCTTGCTGAAAAGAGAAAGTGGTCAGAGTTCAGTGCTACCAAAATCCTGGAGAAGAGGAAAAAGAATAGAAGGAGTCTAAAAATCTACAATAAACTCTGCTCCTGTTAGCCTATTCCTATGCTGTGCATACATGGAGGAGGCCTAAAACAGACTGGTCCTGACAAAGCTTAAAAGCAACCATGGAAAGAATAAAAGGTATTCATTGATGCTTCATCAGACTGCCAAAGCAAAACAATTTTCACAAGATACATGTTTCAGAGGCTCCAAGACTTTTCATTCACAATGTCTAGTATCCCATCAAAAAATAATGATGCACATTTAAAAAAAACAAAACAAAACCCAGAAACAGACTGAAATGACTCAAATACGAAGTTACCAATAGTGGACTTTAAAGTAATCATGATTAATTAATATGTCTAAGAAAATAGGATAAAAAGATGGATAAAACATTTTTTTTAAAAGATGGACAATTTCAAAGAATTAAAATTTATTTTTTAAAAAATTAAGTGGACATTCTAAAACTAAAATATAAAATATCTGAAATTAAGAATTCATTCATGGATTCATAGCAGACAGGACACACCAGAAGGCCAGGATCAGTAACCTACAAAATGGACCAATACAAAATATTCAAAAAACTTAAAGAAAAATATTTAAAAAAACAACACACACCACGGGGGAAATAAAAAGAAAGGAATGTATAGGAAGACTCAATATCATAACGATGGTCATTCCTAATCTCTACATTTAACGCTGTCCTAATAAAAACATAAGCTTTGGGGCTGGAGGTGATTAGACAGGCTGATTTTAAAGTTAATCAAAGAAAAAAAAAAAAAAAGATGATTAACAGCCAGAGAAATACTGAAAAAGAAGAGCAATGAAGAAAAATTTGCTCTGCTTAATATCAAAACACATTACAAAGCTACAATAATTATGAAATAGGCAAATCACAAGAAGTCCAGAAATCAAAAAACTTTTAAAACTTGGTTAATAATTATGGTGACGTTTCAAATCAGTAGGAAAAATGATTTTGAAATATAGTTCAAAACCAATAGTTAGACAACTAGGTAGGCACGTGGAAAAAAACATTATTTCCTCATTTTACACCAACCTAAATTCTAGATGCTAAAATACTGAAATGTAAGAAATAAAAGGATAATAGTAACAAAACATGGGAGAATGATTTCTATCTTGGAGTGGGTAGCTTAAGCGATTAATATGACTAGACCAATATTTTAGCTCATATTACCAAGATCTCATTTTTCTAACAAATAAAAAGCTCCTACATATTTATAAGATCAAAAAATAAAACAATCGAACAGAAAGTGGATAAAGGATATGACGTAACACGTTAACACCGAGAATGAATACAAATTATATTAAAATGTGACACGATACCCAATCTCTTGTAAAAAGATATATAATTTTGGCTGGGCATGGTGGCTCACACCTGTAATCCCAACACTTTGGGAGGTTGAGGGAGGCAGATTACTTGAGGTCAGGAGTTTGAGGTCAGGCTGGCCAACAGGGTAAGACCCCCGTCTTTACTAAAAATACAAAAAATTAGCTGGGTGTGGTGGTGCAGGCCTGTAATCCCAGCTACTTGGGAGGCTGAGGCAGGAGAATCATTTGAACCTGGGAGGCGGAGGTTGCAGTGAGCCGAGATGGCGCCACTGCACTCCAGCCTGGGCGAAACAAAAAAAGCCCCCCCCAGGGAAAAAAAAAAAAAAAAAAAAAAAAAAAATTTAAAGTACAAGGGGTAAGTTTTACGTTATGTATATTTGACCACAATTTTTTTTTTTTAGAACAAGAGACAGCACGTTTCATCAATCAGAATAGCAAAATTCACAGTTTATTACCATACTGTTTTGTGGGGAATAGAAGAAAACAATATAATGGGAGTATAAATTGGTATAAACACTAAGGAAAACAATTTGGCCATATCTACCAAAATTATAAGGGTACAGAAACTTTAATCCAGTGATTCAACTTCTAGGAATTTACCCTATAAATATTTCCAAATGTAGGAAAATAAAGTACATACAAAGTTATTCTCTGCAACACTGTTTCTAAAAGGGCAAAATGTTAACAATCCACATACAGTCAACACAGCAACTTTTATGCTGATATTTTTCAATACAGTGTTAGATTTTTAGGAATCAGAATAAATATGGCATGCTATCATTTGTTTAGTAAAAGAAAATACTTATGTATATATTTATACTTACATTTACTCATATATGTGTATACACATATTTACATATATACACACACACCCCTGGCTAGTATACCTATAGAGAGATACACAATAAACTAGCAATATTGCCTACACAGAAGGCAACTGAGTAGTTGAAAATATTTTTCAATCTTTCGTACTTTCTGAATTTTGAACCATACAAACGTATTATCCATTCAAAACAATAATGTTAAATATGAAAAACAATAATATCTGATAGAAATAGTCAGAATATTGGCTAAATCAATTTCTCCAATTAATATCCTTCAGCAATTCCCCATTTCCAAACCCCTCACTTTTGACAAAGTTTTTCTAAGGCATCACCCTTCTTTTCAAGTATGTGAACTACGCTCCAGAAAAATGTACCTCAGCCTCTAGTCAAATTAGACATCTTTCCTCACATTTTACTAAGAATTTCTTTCTTCCTTTTTTTTTTTTTTTTTTTTTTTTTTGGGGACGGAGTCCTGTTCCGTCGCCAAGTCTGGAGTACCGTGGCACTATTTCGGCTCACGGCACCCTCTGCCTCCTGGGTTCAAGCAATTCTCCAGCCTCAGCCTCCCAAGTAGCTGGGATTACAGGCACGTGCCACCACGCCCGGCTCATTTTTTGTATTGATTGATTAAGAGTCTCACTCTGTCACCCAGGCTGGAGTGCAGTGGCATGATCTCAGCTCACTGCAACCTCTGCCTCCCAGGTTGAAGCGATTCTCCTGCCTCAGCCTCCCGAGTAGCTGGGACTACAGGCTTGTGCCACCACGCCCAGCTATTTTTTTTGTTTTAGTAAAGACGAGGTTCACGATGTTAGGGAGGATGGTCTCAATCTCCTGACCTCGTGATCCACCCTCCTCGGCCTCCCAAAGTGCTGAATTACAGGTGTGAGACACCACGCCCAGCTAATTTTTTTGTATTTTTTGTTAGAAACAGGTTTCACCTGGTTGGCCAGGCTTGTCTCGAACTCCTGACCTCAAGTGATCTGCCCAGCTTGGCCCCGAAAAGTGCTGGAATTACAGGCATAAGCCACAGTGCCCAGCCACTAAGAATTTCTTTAAAGCCACAAATAAGCAATTTTTAGCATAATACAGTTTTGTGAACCACATATAAAAATAGAGTATATTAATAAAAAACTCAACTTCGATTAATCTGGAACACATGCTGTTAAGCATTAAGCTCTCATCAGGCGTTTCCGATATTCTACAGAGAGGCTGTCTTGAAGGGAAGCATTGGTAAAGAAACGGCAGCAGATTTCAAGAAGTCTTTTGGAACTGCCTGCAGCTACAATCTATGCATACAGTTCTCCCTAAGCAATAAATGCCATTTTGAATTGTGAGAGAGGTCGATGTATCTTTTCAGGGAAAAAAGTTCTTTATTCCCTTTATTTGAAAAAGCAGAAAGCAAAAATGGAATTTCTGTTAAGACTTTTTTCAAAATATTTGTTCTTCTCTGTAAGTCTATTCAGAAAGTATTCAACAGATTTTGAGGTGGAAACTACCAACAGGTAAATAAAGAATTTATATTTGTTAAAAAGTGTCATGTTCATGACTTAGATTAGCAGGCAAAAGATCAGATAGAGCAAAATTTACGTGGAAATACGATGTCAATGTATTATTCACACGACCTCAAAAGAACTCTTCTGGTCGAGTTCCACAGTCTTTATTAAATTCCTGACAGTGACTTTTACTGTGAAAAAACCTGTCTTTCCTCAAACTAGGCTCCTTACATTGCACCTAGAACAATGGCAATTTTAAGTGAAACAAGTCTGTAGAACCTCTAATATCAGAAAAATCTAAACTAGAAACAAGGAGCTATTTATCCCCAAATTTGGCTCCCCTCCATCAGCTCTACAATACTGCTGCATCATAAGAAAGGTTATTATTAACTTAGATTGGATGCTATTTTTAGTCGTTCATAAACATTTCTAATGAAACTTACCGAGGAAAGAAAACGTATTTCTGTTTTTAAAGCAGATCTTAAAGAACAAAAAATGGGACTGCATAAAAAGTAATGATAAACTTAAAGTGGAAGAACTATTAATACCTTACATACGGAAACTGTGTCAAATCATGGAAACTGAAATTCGAAGATTACAGGGTAACCAGCTAACTACTAATCACATTAGCTTCCTAATTAAAATTTATCTGTAATTTAAGATTGGAGACAATATAAGCAATCTAAATGCTTGCTTATCCATACTAAGATTCCCATTATTTTAATCTCACTACCGCTCTAGTTTTTAAAAACACTGCAGTGTCCAAGAATTGCTTTGTAATACACAGTTTCTGAAATAATTAACATTTAATAAGATTAAGGTATTTTCCCTGCAAACACTTAAGGTGGCGATTACCTGTGCAATGTCAATATAAGCATGTATACGCACATCTATCTCATTTCCAGGATGATTTTTTCCATTTTGCATGTCCTTGCTTCCCCCAAGTGGCACTCACCTCAGTGACACAGGACGTTAGTAGGGATAACGGTGATGACTAATAAGCATCAGTCTAGGTGTGGCAGTCTTCCTATGGGGCTTAATACAGCAGAGGTACCATCCTGAAAGAGAAACCAAGTCTTTCTAACCAGCAGCAGCTCACAGTCCAGACTGAAAGGGGGCACTGAGACTCTCCACACCTGACACTCGTCTTCAGCTGACACCACGAGTTTGACTCCGTCCTGCCTCGAGCCACGCCCGTAGGACAGGTCGACACCACCCCGACGAAACAAACAAACTGGTTTCCGAGCCCCTTGGAAACGGCGGGGTGCAGCTGGGGGAATGCCTCCGTCACCGCCTCTCCAACTTCACAGAGGTTGTTGCTAGTGGCCACCGCGGGGTGGGGACAGGCGGCACTCGGGACTGGGAAGCTACCTGGCTGCCACGTGCTCCTGCCTCGCAACAGCGGCTCTGGAGTCCGAGTTATGGGGACAACCGCTCGAGACGCCAGGGTAAGGACTCCGCAAGCGGGCGTCCCAAAGCAAACGCAGACGAAGGGGGAGCGGCCGGCGCGTCACCGGCGCTAGAGTGTGACGTCAGCGCGCGGAAGGCGGCACGCTGCGGAAGCGGCTGGAAAGGAGCCCGGCGGCAAGGCTAGAACTGTGCGTCAGGAGGGGTGCGAAAGGACGGGCGGGGCGGGTTCTGCAGGCGGGAAGAAAGAAAAGAGACATCAGGGATGAAAAAGATGGAGAGGAGTGTAAAGCTGTTAAGAGTCATGCAGAGATAAGGGAAAGAAATCACTGGTTGAAGCCAATTTGGAATATAAAGCATATAAAATTTTCCCACGCCTACTAAAAAAAGGGACTTTTTTTTTTTTTTTTTTACTTGAAAGCGCACTTAGGAATTACTACTTACCACATTTTAAAAAGTAATTTCGCTTTAAAAAGCAAGCTTTTCCCTATTATATTTTGGATGGTTAAAACAAAGAATGTTTAAGTCTTGAAAATTTTTTTTAAACTGTAATGTGGTTTTCTATACCTTTACATCGAATAAAGGTACAGACGGCTATACACCGCCAAACCCTTCAATATACAGACACGTAGTTTATAGTATGTATAAATAAGATGTATAAACTACGTGTCTGTACATTGAAGGGTTTGGCGGTGTATAGCAGTCTAAGTACCTTTTTTCACTGCGGGACTGGCGAAGGTAAGAAGAGATTTCCCCTAAAACTATAATAACGGATATCATCTGGTGTCACCCTGAGCGGCCAACCTTATTCCTGCCAGGGACATTGAAAGGTTTTGGCAGCTTTGCCAGAAGACGGCGCTGCAAGTCACCCAAGCTGAAAAGCTGGAGAAAATTTGCCTTGTTTCATCTCCTCTTCAATCTCTATACAGCTACAAAAGGCTGATTTTCCTCATTCTTTCCACTTCTAGACTACTCTCTTGTGGGCCCTCCCACCCCCGGTCAGTCGGTAGGAAATTTGGTGTCTGAATGCACAATTGTAGTTCTACCCAAATCCTTTTGTACATCAAAGTGAAGTGTTGCCAACCGCTAATCAAAGCAAATTCTTTTTGCTGCTTACAGGAAGAATGGCTAGTCAGCTAACCTCCTTAGAGAATTCTTTAGGCTCATGTCATAAACTATTGGTGGGACTATAAAATGCTACAGTCTTTCTAGAAGGCATGATAGCAGTATGCGTATCTTCTGACTCAGCAATTTAACTTCTAGGACAAGTGGGCAATGATTTATATACAAGAATAACCATTATTGTTTATAACCAGAAAAACTAGAAATAATACAAATGTTTAACAGGGAATTGATTAAATTATAATATATCCAAACGACAAAATAATCTAAAGCCATTTAAAACAGTAATCAGGATCTATTTTTATTGACATAGACAGATACCATTGATATAACAATCATATAACTTACTTATATGCCATTGATATATAAAGCAGGTTACCTAAGATGATTACTTGATGATTTCCCTTTCTGGTTTACATAACCCTGTACAATTAATTTTTTTTTATTTTTAAACAAGAATACTTTGGGGCTTCTTTTTCTTTAAATATTTTATTGAACTTTTCTTTCAAGCAAAAAAGTTTTTGCTTCTTGCAACAAGCAAATAACACAAGTGCACAAAGATAGAGCCCACCTCCTCCTTCCCAGAGCTCCCTTCTGTGCTGTCCTCCACAAAACCAATGTTAACAGTTCCATGAATATCATCTACATTTTTCACTAAGTTCCTAAAAATGTAAAAACCTAAGTTCCTTAGGTTTTTTTGTTTCTGAGACGGGATCTCATTCTGTTTCCCAGGCTGGAGTGTAGTAGCGCAATCTTAGCTCCCTGCAACCTCTGCCTTCTAGCTCAAGTGAGTCTCCCACTTCAGCTTCCTGAGTAGCTGAGACTACAGGTGAGTGCCACCACACCTGGCTAATTTTTTTTTCTTTTTTGGTAGAGACAGGGCTTTGCCATGTTGCCCAGGCTTTTTGTGTGTGTTTTTTTTGTAGAGACAGGTTTTACCACATTGCCCAGGCTGGTTTCGAACTCCTGAGCTCAAGTGATCCACCTGCTTTGGCCTCCCAAAGTGCTGGGATTACCGGCATGGGCCACTGTGCCTGGCTGGGATTATAGTATACACATTATTTTGCAACTTACATTTTTAAATTTAATAGTATAACATGAACATCTATGTGGATATCAACTAATTCTTGTGAATGATATTGATATTTCATGATATGGCTAGACCAAAATCTACTCCATTCAGTAGACATATTATTTCCAATGGTATAATTATTTCTGTGGGATCGATTTCTAAAAGTAGGTTTGCTGGGTCAAAATGTATGCATAGTTTTCTCACTTTAATACTCCTATGTTTTGGTTATGAAAAGTTCTTAACTCCTTATTAATAGTGGTAGTATAGTAAATGGGAGGGGACTAGCAGTATGCCTGAGTTATTCTACCAGAGACTTTTCAGAAATATATTCTGCCATGCATTCACAATGAATTAAGCACTATATGTTAGATGATGGGGACAAACATATTCAAGGAATGGATATTGTTATCCCTTTTTTCTAGAAAGCAGGCAGCAAGCTGAAACAAAATAGAATAACAAATAGAGAATAACACATTAGAGCAAATGGCTGGTATAGAACTACACTGAAATATTTTCCTTTTGTAAAATTAATATGTAAATGATTTTATTAAAAGATCATGTATTTGTGAAGGTGTGTCTGATTATACTGATCTACAATCTTTTGTGATTAGAGAAGGACCTAAAATATTAAATATGAAGAAAAGCATTCTCTAAAATCCAGATCTCTTGCAGACATGTAATATTCAAATCCATGAGAGAAAAAAAAGTCAATGTCTTGGCATTTAGTACTCCACCTTGCTACATTCTAGGAAATTTTTAGTATTTAAGCCACATTCCTGACAGTCTACTCTAGCCTTAGTTGGTTTGAACTCACCATTAACTCTGTGTAGCTATGAATTAAACTGTAGCAGCCTAATGAATTTCTGGATTTTAATCTGGTAGGCCCAGTTCCATATGCAAAGTTAAAACATCTAGTTTGCTCCTGAGTTTCTGGCTTTCTGAATTGGGTCACCTGCCAGGATTCACAGATGAGTCAACCATCTGAAGAGAATGATCATAACCTGTTTCTAGGATGAATAAAACAAAACACTGTGCCCAGCCTGAGAAACAAGTCACTTCACGAGTCTGTTTTCAGATATGATTGGCTGAAAAAGCTTTGAGTGTATCAAGTCCTACTGAGGGAGTTTTGTAGGAAACAATCACACTAAACTGGAAGATTGTTTGCCATGTCGTCAGAGGTCTCAAATTGGAATCAGAAGTGCAAAGCTATTTTGGATAACTTTATGCTATCTTTGGGGAAAAGACAAAGGAGAAGAAAAGGATACTCTGACTTACTTCTATGATGCCAGTAGGATCAGGAGGAAATTCTAGACTAGAACCACATTACTATTTTCCTGATAGCACATTAGAATCTCTTCCATTCTCTCTGAAACATAAGATCAAAGTTCTTTTTCTGAAACAACTCATAAATACATGAAGTAGAGCTATAAAATCTTGTTTGATTTTTCTGTGGAACTTTTAAAATATGTTTTTGAGGCACAGTCTCGCCCTATCATCCAGGCCGGAGTGCAGTGGCGCCATCTCGGCTCACTACAACCTCCGCCTCCTGGGTTCAAGCGATTCTCTTGTCTCAGCCTCAAGAGTAGCTGGGACTACAGGCACCTGCCACCACACCCAGCTAATTTTTGTATTTTTAGTAGAGACAGGGCTTCACCATGTTGGCCAGGCTGTTCTTGAACTCCTGGCCTTGCGATCCACCCACTTTGGCCTCTCAAAGTGCTGGGATTACAGGCGTCAGCCACTGCGCCTGGCCTAAAATGTATTTTTTTTAAAGTTGTTATGGGAAGTAATCCTATTTCTGGGTTTTTTTACTTCAAGGAAAGTTCACAGTAACTTGACTGATCCAGGGAGCAAGATAGAAGAAACTGAGATATGATTCCCAGTGCTCTTTACTTTGCCATTTCTATAAAATAGTATCATACAACCTGCCACTCCCAGAGGGATAGAATTGCTGGCAGAGGGAAAGGTTTGCGCTACCTCAATTTGTTTCTCTTGTTCATATCTGCCAGGAACCTACGATCCTACACCTAGTTGTAATTGGCAAACGCTTACACTGTGAGTCAATCTTTTTTTCCTTTTCCCTTTCCTTGAGGCCCCAATAGTTTTCTTGGTTGGTTGGTGAGGGAAGTGTAAAGCTAATTTGAATACTGGTTGCATATTTGTTATTATTAACTTAAGCTCCAACCGGTCCTAGCCAGAAAAATCTGACTACAGTAGAAGAAACTGACCCTTTTCACATAACTTATTTTGCTATGTCTCCAAATACTTCCTGTATACTGGGGGCTTTTAAAAAATGCCTAGAGACTTGTGGTTGAAAGAGGAATTTAAGCACCCTATGGTAGGCAAGATAACACCCCTCACTGCTGCCCCAATCCCTGGAACAAGTGAATATATTAGATTACGTGGCAAGGGGGAATTATATATGGTATGAGAAACATTCAGCCTTCCATTGCTGGCTTTGAAGATGGAGGAAGGGGGCAATGAGCCAAGGAGGTCAAGTGACCTCTAGAAGCTGCAAAAGGCATGAAAGTGGATTCTCCCCTAGAGCCTGTAAAAGAAAACAGCCCTGCCAACACCTTGATTTTTAACCAGTGAAACCTATGGCAGTCAGACTTTCACCCTACAGAACTCTAAGATCAAAATGTGTACTGTTTCAAGCCAGTAAATTTGTGGGAATGTGTTACAATAGCACTTGGATACTAATACAAACTCCTCTTAAGGTTCCAGGAGCAGGTATTTACAGTATAGTGATCAGGTGGGCTGTTGAATTATTTTCAAATGGGAGAAAAGCCCACAGTTGAGTCTGTAAACCGCCTTACTGGGAATTATCTCGGCCCTAAGAAGTTCCTTCTTAATCTTAACTCCCACTAAAATAAAGGATCTGGTAAGAACGCCGATCAATCAGGATCCTTTCTGTAGTATTTACCGTGATGG